AGGATGCGGGCCATGGCCGGCAGCCGCCCCAGCATGGCGAGCCGCTCCTCCTCCTGCGGGGCCCGGGTCATCAGCGCCTGCATCCTCTGCGCCTCCTTCGCCCGGATCTTGGGGAGTGGAGAGGACAGGTCAGACACCGCAGGTCCCCCCTGGCAGGGCCACCACTGCTGCAGTGACCGCCAGGACCGAATTACTCACCCTCTCGAGCAGGGCCTGGGACACCCCCTTCAGCGCGCTGGAGGTGCTGGCAGGGGATGCCGCGTTGGAAACCACCGATTCCCCCACACTCGCTACAGCTGTTTTTAAGGCCATGTTGGCAAGAGCTTTTTCCATCTGTTCATGTGGAAGAGAGAGGAGGAGTTGGGTTACATCTGGGAGCTGCTCATGCTGGAGGAAGGAGATGTTCCCCCACCCCGTGACTCCCCGCCGCACTCCCTCGGTCCCGGCAGGGCTGCGTTGTAGCAGCCCAAAGCTCCTGTCCCGCGTGGCTGACCCACCCTACCTGTAAGGGGGGCAGCTTCTGGTACTTCAGCTCCTCTCCCAGCCCAACAGTAAGTACTGAAGACTTCTCTAAGCCTGCGACCAGGCCTACACTACAGCCCAGAGCAGTAGTCTTCATGCTCAAGTCCTCACTTGCCTGCTTCTTCCCAGCACTCTCAGTCTTAAGGCTCTGAACCTTTCCTGCTGGCTTATCTAGAAACATCTTCCTGGAAAGGCAGCAGGTTTGAGGTCTGCCACCCCTCGGGGATGCGGCTGGAGCGAGATCTTTGTCACTCACCTTCGGGGTCATCATGCCCCGGGCCGTGGTCAGCACCTCCTGGGCCGTGGTCAGCCTGTCGCCCTGGGGGGGCTGCGGCAGCTCTGCCGGGGTGATGTCCGGCACTTCGTCCACGTTGAAATGGGGATGCCAGCGCGTCAGCTTGTCATCCGGCACCTCCATCGGGGGGCTGAGGGAGGCCATGAACGCCTAGAGTGGGGCAAGAGCTGCATTACGCACCTGCGAGTCAGGTAAGGGGAGGTCCAGCTGCTGCCCGAGTGGCAGCACACTCTTAGCGTGGCTCAGCGTTACGTGGCAGCAGGCTCGGAGAAGAGTCAGAGCCAGGAGATTCGAGCCTAGGCCTCTCAAGTGATGCATTTCCTGATCTTTGCCTCAGCTCTCCACGCTCCCCACCCACGCCTGCCTGCCAAGAATATCCAGAGCAACCCGCAGCTTCTTCATGGCCCACGCTGTGCTCCAGCCTGGATGCCAGCCCAGTCCTTCCAGCCACTTCTCTAGATAGCAACCAGAGGAATCCCAGACCCCAAAAGGGCAAGACCCACCAGTGCCCCAGGGAAGGAGAAAGACCGTTGGTGCCTCCAGTGAAGGTTTGACCCAAAGGGACGCTCCAGGCAGCGGCTCCGAGGACGCCGAGAGCAGCATGCCGAGGCAGCTCCGCCGGCACCTGCCTGCGCGGCGGGGCGCTCACCTTGTGGTGCTGCTTGACAATGTTCACCAGGTTGCGGCTGAACTCCTTCCTGCGCTCCAGCAGGCGCGACGCCGACAAGTGAGGGCGGCCGTCCACCTTCTCCTCTGGAAAGGGAGACTCGAGCATCACCCACAGCTCGGTGCTTGTGGCACAGCCGGGCTCTGCGGCACCCGGCGCAGCCCTCGCGGCTGCCCCGGCAGCGCTCCGGGCTGAGCACGAAGCCGGTCGCCTGCTGCTAGGCTGTGATGTCTCAAAGCTGAACAGCACTGCAGCTGTCTGGTTCTGAACCAAGTTTCAAGAGCCTCTTGAAGGACAGGATCAGAGACCTGTCGTTGGGCTGATTCACTGCCAGAATCACTGCTCAATCTTCCCACTCTCCCCAAAAGTGTTTTCCACTTCTAGTATGCTCAGGACCTTACAGGTCAGATTATTTAATGGGCCAGAGCAAAGTGAGCCAGCACGCAGAGAGCGCTCCTGGGGCTTCAGAGGTCCCTGCTGGGACGCAGGTGCTGCGAGCCCACCTCAGCTCTCCCGGGACCCCAGGCACATACCTTCCCCCAGCACCGGCTCTAGCGTGAGCTGGTAGTCCGACTTCTTAATGCTGCTGCTGAAAGTGGGGATGTTTTTCTCCTGGCGGAGCCTGTACGACGCAGGGTACACCGCCTTGATCTGGCCCACGTGTCGCTCCTCAAACTGCCTGCAACAGCACCCACCCGTGAGGTCAGAAACCCCAAGGGCTGACACTGGGGAATCCACCCTGATGGCCTCAACTAGGAGCCCAAGAGGAATCAGCAAGACCAACGCACGTGGCCAGTTAACATCGCTGCCTGCAGCACCTCTGTGCTGTGAAGGACACAGAAGCCCATTATCATGGTGCTTCCAACTGCCTCTCCCTCTGAGACGGGGCCCTGCGTGACCTGGTGCCAGCCCCCAATATCCACGGCAGAGCAGGAGTGCCATCAGCCAGGCAGGACATGCTCTGACCACATGGAGCCGTTTCTGGGCTGCCAAAAGCAGGGCTGCGGAGCAGTTCCATTAACGGCTCTCCCCTGCGGGTGCTCAGGGCCATGCAAGTCCTTGCAAAGAGGGTTCAGGAGTCACCCACAGCCAGCTACCTTCTGCTGGACGGGCTCCCCACCGCGTCCCCTCCATGCTACGCAGGCTGGCCCAGCACCAGGAAACCCTTCGAGCTGCCGCTCCGCTGGCTGAGTCAGCTTCCCCAGCAGAGCCCTCCCTCCCAGGGCCACCCACCTCCCTTCCCAACCCTGGGCTTACTTGCGCATCACGTCCTGCACCCCCTGCTTGACCTTCGCAAAGGTGACGGTTTCCGAGCGGTTGAAGAGCATCCCCACGATGGCATCCATGCTGCGAAACATCTCCGCCAGCACCTTGAACTTGTAGGGCAGCGTGAGCCCTGGCGGGACGTCCTGGGCTAAGGTGTGGAATCGCTGGTAAGCGGGTGCCTTCTTGCTGCCGGGGAAGGGAGCAGACGTGTTAGGCTCCCCTGCGGGCAGTCACCACGGGGCTCTGCATGTGGGTCCGGAACAGCTCCGAGTGCACGCCTGCGGTGGGAGTCTGTGACCTCCCAGGCTAGGACAGGCAGGCTCAGCATCCCACCGTCAGTCAGGACTGACCTCCCAGCCTAGGGGCTCACGCCACGCTCACCCCGCTTAGGTAAGGTCTCCTTCCTCCCCCCATCCCTGTAGTCTTTTCCAAGGAACCTCTGCAGCTATTTGGGTGACATAATCCATCCTCTGAAGTCCTGGGGGTGCAGATGCTCATCCAGCCCTACACATGGTTGTCCCATAGCCCAGCGAGACCCTTCCGCACGTTCGCACCACGCTCTCTAGCCTCCTCCGCACCCAGCATGGCGCAGGAGCTGCATTACTCGCCACAGAGCCCTACAAGCGCTCGCTGGCTCAAGCGGGCGAGTCAGGCCATCGCTCGGGATGGCTTTGACTACGCTTTAGTTTCACCTCAAAGAAGTACTTTGCCAAGTACCCACTCAGCCACCTGAAGACAGCGGGGATCTGCCAGCAGTTCTGCAGAGCCCACAGCCTGCCCTTGCACACGTGGAGGGCAGGAAAGAGCCCTACAGAGCTGCACTGTTTTGCTGCGGAGCAGCTGCACTACATCCATGCCTTTTCTCGTGCTGCATCGCAGTTGACCACGCTATTCCTATTCTGGCTGCATCCCCGAACCTGCTTCTTACTTGGCCTCTGCTGCTGAAC